TTATAGAAGTGGAATTTATGCAGTATGAATAATTTAAGACCCTTAGCTCATGTTGCCAAATTACTTTCCAAAGTTCTTAGCCATATTCACTTACACCAGTAATATATGAAAGTATCTTTCTTACTGCACCCACATTAGCATTTAGGATGATATATTTCTAAACCAGTAATGCACTTGACAAAGTCTTTAATAAGCCCCATATGGAATGTGGGCTGGATGATAACATAGACAAGAAGATTCATAAGTGTTACTGTGTCTCTGATAGGATACAGTTATGATCTTGAATCCTTGAATCCAGGATCACCTCCTGCAGGTTCCTGAAAAATATTTTGCAAACAGAGGATACTCCAGCCAAATGTATCCATACTACTTTCCATGACTAGGATACTGACTGAAAAACTCCAGGTAGATTTTTGTCTTGGTAAATTGAGTTGAAAGAGATGCTATAAATATAATTTTGGCCAGACAAGATGTAGTCTAAACAACCTGATCTGTGTTTCCCTGCAGTACAATATGGTACCCATTCCATGACTTTCTATGGGTGACTTTGGGTCCTCCCAAAATGCTAATGGGAGGTTGTGACTCTAATCTGAGTCCTTTGGCTCTTCTGGTTGCAGCTGCACGGGTGATTCTGTGACTCCTAGATAAATATTGCTAAAGACAGAACATGTCCTACAATAGTTATTACTACCTACATAAAGCTTAGCACATGCCTGTTTTTGTTTAACTGCTTTACATAGATTTACTTATTTAATTGTCAAAGAACCTAAGCAGTAAGTAATGTTATTTTCTTTTTTTTTTTTTTTTTTTCAGATTCGGAGAATGAGACAAAGCCATGGATAACATACATTCCAACAGTGAGGGATCACGGAGCCCAGAATTGAATTCAGGTTCTTTGACACCAGTGCCTTCCTCCTTAAGCACGTAAGTACCTCCTGCCCAAACACACGCACTCACAACACAAACACTCACACCCAGAAAAACATATATGCACACACAGACAAATACACACAGACACACACACATTCAAAATAGATAACACTGCTTTTCTGAGAAGGATATTTTTAACATCTCTCTTCCTCTCACCTCAAGTTCTACCTGTAGCAGTTTGTTTCTTTTATGTGTCTTGGTGGTCACCGCGGTAGCTTCAGCCCTAATAAAGGAATGGATTCTGGTAGACTGGCAGGGTAGAGTGGAAGAGAAGAATAACATCCTGTTATGTCAGACCAGCAAGTGGTGCTCTCTCCCCTTTAAAAGAATAACGTCAAAACACATTACACTGAATCTTGTGATCACGCATAATTCATATGTTTATGACTCATTCAGACATATGGGGAAGGGGTGGGTGGGACCCACCAGCAAGAAAACTTTATGAGGTCCTGATGTTGGGAGGAGAGAGAGAGATAGACAGTCAGAGACAGACAAAGGCAGAGAGAGGGAGAGAGAGAGGTCATGGGCGCAGATCTGCAAAACAGGAGCTCTCTGCAGCAGTTTTGATTAATGCCAGGGTAAACGAATTTGGGGGCCTATACTCATCAGGAGGATCAGAGGGACCGGGAAAGACGGTTGCCTAACACGTGATCTTACCTGATATAGCAGAGTAAGTGCAAACATGTCTGCCAATTTCCACCCTAGCAGATGTTTAAAGGTTTAGCCAAGTGTACATTTGCTGTGAGTGATTTAATGCTTCCAAATCTATTTCCCCTTACTTCTAGAAGTGAGAGTGTGTTTTCAGTAATTTTCTGGGCTTTCTTTTGTCTTTCTCATGCTCTAAATAATTGAACTGTGCAAGAACAAGATGTGATGGAGATGTAGCCAAAGCCGTTTCTCTGAAACTCTACTGTAGCAACGGACAGTCCTCAAAGTCAAGGCTTGCCACAACAAACGTTTGTGTCTTGCTCCTTTTACAAAGGGCTTTTGGTGGCTGTGGTGATTCTCATGGCAGAGGAAAATCTGAGATGGGGAGCAGAGGGGGAGGGGACAAGGCTCACAGAGCTTCCAAACTTTGGGAACACATCAAGCTTCTGCTGGAGTGTGGTGTACATCACCATAGTTCACACATCCCATTGACCAAAGCATGACACATAAGCCAACTAAAGCCCAATGGCCAGGATGTTTATCCTGTCTACATGGCAGAACAGTGAAAGTAGCCAACACACCAGTGCTAAACACCTCCAGGTGTTTATTCCATGGCAAATATTCTATAGGGTAAAATTAAGAACAAATTGCCTGCACTGGATTTCAAATTTTCCTGTTGGTGGAGTTTTCTCTGTTGTTTTGATTGTTCATGCATCTGAAATCCCATAGTTTTGGGAAGAGTAGCCAAAGAGTTCCATGGGCAGGACCTAGTAACAGCTTCTGAGGGGATATTGACCTGTCTACCATCCTTTATTCTGATTTCAGGCAGAGATGTTTGACACTCAACTACTATTTTCCTTAATCAAAGCACCGAAGAGTAAGCAGCTTGTGTCTAAGGACTAGCTACTTCCATGCTCCAAGGACAAAAGTAGTGAAATTTTGTACACCTTATGATAACATTTTCCAAAATATTATCAAGTACAATACACAATGCTATTTATATAAAATTCTTAATGTGCTGGAATCATTAAGCATTGCAATCACTATTCTTATTTCATTTCAACCCAAGAGACAAGTTAAAGCCTTTAACCTGCCATGGAGCATAGTCTCACTTCCAGTTTTTCCTATTTTTCTTCCTTCTCAATACCAACATCAAATCTGACTTGCCTGACTGGAGCAAGAGTATCCTCTTGAGCAGCTTCTGCTGGACATCATCTGTTAGAAGTACTTTTTGTTTCTTCAGTTCATAGTGTTATGTTAATATTACCCAAGACCTAGTTCTGGACCCATCTTTTCAGAGTTCTAGTACACAGTCTGGGAATATAAAAGCATATGATGGTAGCCTTATAAGTTAGGCAACTTATTTAATCAACCCCAAATCTGGTTCTACATTTTCTTCTCTCTATTCATGTCTAGGAATTTTGGGGAAAAAATAAACATTGTTTTTTTTAAAGACTTCCTTTTTATTTATTTATTTGACAGAGATATAGAGAGAGAAGAGCAGGCTCTCCATTGAGCAGGGAGCCCGATGCGGGGATTGATCCCAGGACCCTGGGATCATGACCTGAGCCGAAGGCAGATACCTAACCGACTGAGCTACCCAGGTGCCTCTGAACATTGTTGACAATAATTTTCTGTGACTAAATTGTCTTGTATTATTCTAATCACTGACGCTTTCTTATTCAAGTACACGTTAACTCACCTAGATGCTATCTGAAAACTGTCTCTCTCATGGGATTAAATACCTTTGCTCTCTTCTGTCTTCCTACTATTGTATTTTTAGCTTGGTCCTTGTGTAACTTGGTGGTCAGCCAAGGTTTGGAGCAGGGATTACACTCCCAGATACACGGGATCACCCACTGTTTCTTTGCTTCTAGGAATGTCCAATTAATCTCCAGCTGTTTTGCCAGCCTTGGACTAAATCCTCTGACAGTTTGAGCACATATGACTTTAGCTGTCTACTAAGCTTCATTCCGTGAAGCAGAAAATTTACAAATTTTGCCGTTTTTTCAAGAAGAGATGATATTTTGGTTTCTGCCTACTTTTACACCAGACCCCTTATTGTTTTTCCTGCACATACTTAACTTATCTTAAGCCAATGTTATGGGCAGAATTTCATATTTATACTCTGAGTGTTACTCCTTTTGTAGTCCTCTTGCTACCAGGATTTTTCCCTTTCTATTTCAGCTGATCCATCAGTCTTGAGTTCAGGTTTTTTGTTTTGTTTTGTTTTGTTTTGTTTTTCAAATCAAACCACAAGGCTATAGGTTTCTGTTCCACTGTTTGACCTCCAAAACCCTGGATGGTAAGCAGCGTACTTAGGTCAGAAAACTCCAAATGCAGTTCTTTAGCCTTTCCAATGGTAATATTTCTTAAATACTCCTCTTTTTATTTCTGCTCTTGATGCTTTAAATAAAATTTAGCTATTTTTCATAATGATTATCTGCAGAGAGTTCAAGTGAACATTTCTTTCTGTCACTATTACTGAGTTTATTCTAAATTCACTCTCATGTCACCCCAATCAATTGTTAACTATACATTTTGCAGTAATTTGTAAGTAAGTAATTTGTTATTGCTCAAAGTTCTTATACTTTGATTTTAAGAATATTTAAACAGGTGAGATATGTATGCATATATAGAAGTGATTTTATGTATGTATATATATATCTATATATATATATACATGGACATATGTATGTATGTATATTCCATATATATATGCATATATATACATGGAATGGAATTTAGTATAGTAATTTTCTTTTCATTAAACAGTCATTCAACTTCAGAATTCCAGACTTGCTCTAACTTTGTGAATAAGATTACAAACTGCCCAATGTAAGTGTTCTTCTCCCGGTGGGAACTTACTACATTTTGACTACAATTGGAATATCCTTGGATTATTGAAAACCAAAGCAAGGCTGCTGTACATTAGCTATGTACAAACAAGGGAAGAGACAGTATTCGAACAGTAAATACAAAATCAGAACCTAAGAAGCCTTGACAAATGTGTCAGGGTTGGGGGAATATTTTCTCAATGAGAAATTATAATTCTATTGTAATGTTTTATTATGGCCATATCTTGATTTTATTTTTTATTTGACTGAAATTTTTAATGAATTTATAATCTTATTACATATATTTGTAAAAAAATCATTTCATTTAAAATAAGTGTAAGGTCTAAGAAAAGTAAAAAATAAGATACAAATATAGTTCCTTTTATTTTGCGGAAGAATAGAAAAATAAACTAATCATATAATAAAAAGTTTACTGATTCATATGTATGTAACCATTTATTTAAGAGTTCAATTGTTTTTTCCCCACCAGCTACAGACAAAAATTGTATATATTTAAGGTGTTACAACACAGTCAAGCTAATTAACACATTCATTACCTCACATAAATTTTTTTTTTTTTTTTGGTGAGGAGAACACAGTATCTACTGTCTTAGCACATTTCAAGTCCATAATACAATATTACGAACTAGGGTCACCATGTGGTGCATGAGAGGCTTGTTGCCATCTGATATCACAGGCTATTCTGATGGGAATAATAGGAAGCAAGAAATTTAAATCATAATTCACCAGCTAAGCTTTTCCTTTTGTTTATTAACAGTCTATTACCTAATTTAATGTCAGCCTCACTGACTTCTCCATAATGAATTTGTTTAAACTATTTAAAGTAATAACTGAGATTAGGAGAAAACAACAGTAAACTTATTTAGCATCAAGGTATGAATCAGTGAGCACATTTGGATGAAAGGGATTTGGGATTCATTTAAAGGAAACCAGTAGCAAAAGGAAGAATATCAAGATGAATAAATAAGGGAATTTGCTATTTAATATGTTAATAATTCTATTTCCAGACCAAAAGTGAATTTCATATAAATAAAACAAACGAATTACTACAAAAACATTGGTGATGGAAATGGACTACAAATATATAGGTTATTACATACATATGATAGAAAATATATATATGTGAATATATATAATATGTAAAAATGAATACCTTCCTATGTGATACATAACAATTAGAGAGAAGCCAACAAATCTTAGTTGAATGGTCAGTTTAAATTCATTATAGCAATAATTCTTACCTAGGAGTTGAGTGAGAAGTTTAATTTCCTGTATTTTGTCATAAAGGAGGCAAGTAAGATCATCATTCCCCTGATCTATAACCTAAGAAAAAAAAATGGACTTGTCCTAGATGTACCAAGTGAACATTATCAGAGTACTGGCATATACTGGGTAAATGTTTTTCTCAGTCAATCCCTCCAAGTGGAGGCATTTGCAATCATATAATAGCTTTTACTTATGACAGGAATTTGGTGATCCCACCCTACCTGAATGTTAACCCATCACTATGTTTGAAGGTAATGTCCAGCTGTCCCCCCAGTAAAAGGAGAAACAGTCAATTTGTTAAAAATTTTCACAGGCCTAAGATTCAGCTAATTTGGTAACATCTGGATTATTGAACTATTTTTATTTTTATCAAAATGATGGGTATTATGTAGACCAAACTATGTTGTGATTTCAAATTTACAACCCTATGAAATGCCTGGGGAAGCATCATAACTTCTGTATCATCAGCATCCACTGAGTCGGCTGCCAGGGATGCCAGCCTCCTGGTGCCCACATCTTTGTGTCATCCCTTCCTCTTGAATATGACCTGGACCTTGTGACTTGTTTCAACAGAATATGGCAAAAGTGATGGGATGCCATGTCCCCAGGCTTAGTTACAAAAGATTTTGACTTCCATCTCCCTGGCACACTCTCTCCGTTGCTTCTTGTTTGCTTGGTTTAATGAAACCAGCTGCCATGTTGCAAGCTGCTCCCATGAAGAGGCAGGCCCACGTGGTAATGGACTGAGGATGACCTCCAGCCAGAGCCAGCAAGGAACTGAGGTCCCAATGGCATACAAGGAACTGAGTCCTGTCAACATCCCCATGAGTGAACTTGGAAGCAGTTCTTTCCCCAGTCAAGACTTGACTACACCACCAGCCAATATTTTTACTGCAGTCATGAAAGAGACCCAGAGGACACAGACAAGCTATGCACAGATTCCTCATCCACAGAAATTATGGGGTAATAAATACTGCTGTTTTAAGCAATGAGGTTTTGGGGTAATATGTGTTATGTAACAACAGATAACAAATACAACATCTACAGGAATCTCAACAAGTTTGGCAAAAATTTTTAAAGTGCTTTCATTTTGGTGGATTTGTCATGATGGATTTTAGAAATATGAGGATTATTCCGAGGTATCTTATGGTTTTTGGTGCTATTGTAAATGGAATCATTTCTCTAATTTCTCTTTCTACACTTGCATTATTAGTGTATAAGAAAGCAACTGATTTCCGTGCATTGATTTTATATCCTGCCACATTACTGAACCGCTGTATGAGTTCTAGTAATTTGGGGGTGGAGTCTTTTGGATTTTCCACATAAAGTATCATGTCATCTGCAAAGAGAGAGAGTTTGACTTCTTTGCCAATTGAATACCTTTTATTTATTTTTGTTGTCTGATTGCTGTTGCTAGGACTTCTAGTAGTTGAACAATAGTGGCGAGAGTGGGCATCCTTGTCTTGTTCCTGATCTTAAGGGAAAGGCTTTCAGCTTTTCCCCATTGAGGATGATATTTGCTGTGGGTTTTTCATAGGTGGATTTTATAAACTTGAGGAATGTTTCCTCTATCCCTATACTCTGAAGAGTTTTAATCAGGAAAGGATGTTGTATTTAGCAAATGCTTTTTCTACCCTATGACCCAGCAATGGCACTACTGGGTATTTACCCCAAAGACACAGATGTAGTGAAAAGAAGGGCCATATGCACCCCAATGTTCATAGCAGCAATGTCCACAATAGCCAAACTGTGGGAAGAGCCGAGATGGCCTTCAACAGATGAATAGATAAAGAAGATGTGGTCCATATATACAATGGAATATTACTCAGCCATGAGAAAGGATGAATACTCAACATTTACATCAACATGGATGGGACTGGAGATTATGCTAAGTGAAATAAGTCAAGCAGAGAAAGTCAATTATCATATGATTTCACTTATTTGTGGAACATAAGGAATAACATGGAGGACATTAGGAAAATGAAGGGGGGGGTGAAATCAGAGGGTGAGATGAACCATGAGAGACTATGGACTCAGAGAAACAAACTGAGGGTTTTAGAGGGAAGGGGAGTGGGGATGGGTTAGCCCAGTGATGGGTATTAAGGAGGGCACTGGGTGTTATACGAAAACAATGAATCGTGGATCACTACATCAAAAACTAATGATGTATTCTATGGTGACTAACACAACATAATAAAATAAAATTAAAAAAATAGAAATATGAGAAACTAGTATATTAGAGGTATATTAATATTCAAACATAATATATAGTTATTAACTTATGGATATAATGTTAGATGATTCCTACTCCATGTCTTTGTTCAAAATATATAAAGTTTTTAAAAATTAAAAGAAATTATTCATTATGAAGATGTTTTTCATTTAGATAAAACATACTAACACAACAACTGAATTTTATATTTGCATTGTGAGATGAGTTGCCATGGGTTTTCTTAACCATACCTGTTTTTAGATTATATTTTCTAATTAACGTAGATCTAGAATATTACCTGTGGTTGGAAAATTTTTAAAAAGAGTTACTTGTTTATTTTCTAAGTTACTATAAATACTCTCTCACAACAGTTTATAAAACAACAATAACTAATCTACTGATTCTCAGGTCAATGCTTTTCGAATATAGGTTATCTCAAAAACAAAGGCAACAGAAGTCATAACTTAGAAACCCTTTAGGGATAGCACCAAGTAATTTTAAAACAAACAAACAAGCGAAGAAATAAGCAAGCCCATTATTTTAGGAAATTGAAATAGTATTTTTTAAAATTTCTCTCTTAAGAGAACTAACTTGGATTATTGATTGCTCTTCTTCGTTTTTTTTTTTTTTTTTTCCTGTTTGATCTTTCTGAGGCACTAAATTAGGGGATAAAAACATATATGCTAAAAATGCTGAAAATTTTTCAGATTTATTTTAAAAGCAGGAAGAAAAGACTCCTTTCTGAGTATAGGTCTTGTATATATTATGCAATGTTACCAAAACACTAAATAATAAATACTTAAGGGGAGCCTGGGTGACTCAGTAGGTTAAGCATCCTACTCTTGATTTGGCTCAGATCATGATTTCAGGGTCATGAGATCAAGGTCCTCATCGGGCTCCACAGGGAGCATGAAGCTTGCTTAAGATTCTCTTTCCCTCCCCCCACCCCCCCCTCACATCTGTGCTCTCTTCCTCTCTCTTAAAACAAAAACAAAAACCAAAACAAAACCTGAGCATATGGATTCACCTTAAGGGGCTATATTATTGGCCATAGTCAGTAACTAATAACACTTCTACAATTTTGATGAAGTTATTTATTCCATCTATGGCCATTTTATCCTGGATTAAGACTGTCTTCACAGTTGGAAGAGTTTTGTTTATCTTGAGTAGCTTCTGACATTCCATCCTTCTTTTTAATTTTTGTGCTGAAGTCAAGACTTCTGGAGTTTAATAGATGGCTTCTTACACCCTGAGGGAAGAATAAAACTTCCTGAAAAACAGAAAATCCTAATGTAGAATCTTCTTGCCTCTTTGATTGTTGTAAAAATAAATCATTAACTATTTAAGAAATAAGAGTTAGTGAAACCCCACTGTCCACGCAATTCTTTCCAACTGAGGAAAGAAACAGGAAAACCAGGAGTGAAGTGAGGATAACAGTTTCATTATTTTAAAGTTGGTTCTCATCACACACATACACAAATGGTAGCTCTGTGAGATGATGTGTTAATTAACTTGACTATGGTAAGCATTTCACAATGCATATGTATATTAAATCATCACATTGCACACCTTAAAAAATCACGTTGCACAGTGTAAATACATACAATGGTTATTTTTCAACCATACCTCAACAAAGCTGAAAAAAAAGATAATCCCAATTACAGAAAATCAAAGCTAATTCAGGACACCCAAAACTAAAGCTCAAAGATGGAAATTTAACACCAATTAATTCTTATAACAAATTTTGCTTTAGCAGCCTGTATTTGAAGCTATGCACTTCTATTTCATCTTTCCATTGCAAATCACATGACAATATGCAGAATAGTCTAATAAAAAAAGATTTATTTATTTATTTTAGAGAGAGAGAGAAAGCAACTATTGGGGAGGGGCAGGGAGAGCGGGAGAGAGAGAATCTCAAGCAGACTCCCCGCTGAGCGCAGAGCCCTACAGGGCTCAATCACATAACCCTGAGGTCATGACCTGAGCAGAGACCAAGAGTCGGTTGCTTAACCGATGAGCCAGCCAGCCAGCCAGGCGACCCCTATCTCAGTGATTTTTAACCAATAACAATTTCCAATTTTTAGCTGTGGATCCTTTTC